AGAAGCTCCAGAATGTCGTCCACGTCCAGGGTGCCGACTCCTTTGACGGCCGCCTTGTCCTCAGGATCGAGCGTCCTGAGCATTTGTCTGGACATCTGGAGGACAGCTGGCCTCGCTGCGGCATCTATCAAACAAATACAGCTAAGTTAAAAACTGAATATTATTCCCTTTATGAAGTGCATGGTCGAATGGTCGGATGGCTTACCTCCATCTCCCCCAGCACCTTCGCTGCCGCCTGCTGTGCCGCCAGCAGTGGTGAGTGGCGTTTTTCCACTCTTCGACGCTCGTTGAAGAGCTTCCGACTTTGATGGTGTTTTGATGGGGGAAGAGGCACCTGTCCCCTTCTTGGTGGGCTTGGTAGCGACGTGTTTCCTCCGGTTCTGAGAAACGTCGCCAGCCGTCTGCTTTTGCAGCTTGGGGTCCGGCTGAGAAGAAGGGGTGGGCTTTGATAAAGCACTCTGAAAAGAGGTCCAAGCGTGAGTTTCATAAACAGAGTATGAGAACACAATTCACTAAGAGAAACCTTTGCAGACTCATTACCTTAGGAGTGCCGCCTGGCGGCTGCTCATCCGCCTGTATTATGTTTGAGTGGTAGAAGGCGGCGGAGAGGGCTGGTTTCTTGTGGGCCGGAAGCTTTGCCATTGCTTTATTTGCAACAAGAAACCAAGTGTCAGCAAAGAAAAAAATAATCATAAGTAAACAAAGGTAATAAAATCATGCGGCCAGCTACCTCTCGGCATTTCGGTACTGAGCCCGCAGGCGGCTAAGTACGTCCCATCCGAGAGCCACTCGAATCGGGGAATATAGCTCTGGGGGGTGACCTCCTTAACCCCCGTCTCTTTATTTGTCCAGACGACCACAGAAAAGAGGCCCCGGTCAAAGATCTTCTCTTGGGCCCGCCTGGGAACAGGCGGAAGAGCCTTTTTCCCAGCCAAGAGGCAAGGATACCGAGTCCAGCGGTTGTACCGCGTGTTCTTTTGGGCGTCCGGGGAAGAGACTATATAAAACTTGGTTCGCCAGTCCTTCCATTTGTTCTCTTTCCCCAATGTCATCATGTACCGGGTATGGATGGTCAACGTAAACCAGCCGATACCACTTAGATTGGGCGTTTTGCTCAGATAGTGCATATGAGAGAACGCCTCAAAGCTGGGATCCACCTCCAGCATCTCGCAGGCGGCAACGTAGCCCAAGATATTTACCCAAGAGTTGGGGGCTAGTTGCCAGCTGGTATCCGTCCAAGATCCTCTCCATAGCCGAATGGAGAGGAAAGCGAAGTCCTGCCTGGATGGCCGCCTCATAGCAGCCAAAACACTGGTCACCATAAACAGCAATCTCAGGCTAGGTGACCGTGTCCTCAGCATCCGGCAGGGACAGAAGAAATTCATGTCCCATGACATGGGTAGAGAAAAAATTTGGGAAGATCATCCGCCATGATCTTCCACCTGTCTTCCGGAACGTGCAGATAGTAGGGCGCACGTTCATGCCGCCTGGAAGCAGACAGCTCTGCCCAACCCTCTCCCTTCTCAACGGAGAGGGACTCTCTGGCAGCCTTTAAGTTTGATTGTGCCTCCTCTGAGTCAAGGGGGACACAGTTGGAAGACGATGACGCCAAGTCATCAGAACTCTCATCGGAGCTAGGGGACTGTCGGCTGTTGCCGGCAGTGTCCTCCCCCAGCTCATCATCCGGCACTGATCCACTCGGCCCGGGGCTCTCAAATTCCTCGTCGCACTCCTCCAAAAACGAGTCATTTGGAGTGCTGACGGTGCTAGGCGGGTCTCTGCTAACCTTAGAGATATGCACCCTAATGGAGCCATCGGAATAGATAGTCTCACTGTCCTAATGGTAAAAGGTACCATCCGCTCTATATCTCCTTGTCGTTTGCTTTGTTCAGGCCATCGTGTCCTGCAGAGGCACAGACACTGTCGGATTTGGAGATGTACTTAAAGCAAAGTTCTCGAACGAGCATTCGGCACTCCTAGTTCTAGATTCAGCCGTCCCCGGTGACCGGCTGATCGCTAACCTAGGTCGTGCCGGGTGCGTTTGGGAAACCATTTTGATAAAGAAAAATGCAAAAAATAAGTGAAAAGGGATCAGGCGGTTACCTTAGAAGAAGGTAACGAGAGACGTCGGTCTTGGGCGCTTGATGAGTCAGGCGAACTAAGAGGGCTGGCTGTCGGATTCTCTGGAAAGTCAAAGTCCTTGAAAGTCAGAAGATTCAAGATTCCTTGAAGATTCACGCAAATGTGAATCCAAAAGGAAGTCAAACCCTTCTATTTATAGAAAGGGTAAACCCTAATTTTTCCCCCCAAAATATAATTTGAAAATCCGGCTAGTCGGATGATGACACATGTCACAGGTGTCATGTGCAATGCACGTGACCCTTGTGAGGGCCAAATGATTTGGGTATTTTTATACCCAGCCAAGTGGCCCAATCGGAAGCCGCCACGTGTCATTGGTAGAGGTGCCACCTGGACCTTTGAGATGGTGACACGTGGTAGGCAGATATTCCTCCGTTCTGGGATGATTGATGATCCAGCATGGACCATTAAGAGGGCAACACGTGTCACCCTAAGAGATGCCCAAAAGCCTTTTGGGCTCAGTGACACGTGTCACTCAGACATTGCTTTTGGAATGGCGGCCTTCAAGGGCCCGAACCTTGAGGCGCCGTTTTGCGGTGTGACCTAATCCCTAGGTCACCAGATCCTAGGGAGGGCACACTTTTCCAAAAGACCCTATAAATAGGGACAGTTCTTCATTTATGGGATAATACACGGAATACAGGACAACACGTCACTTTCACATTTATTACAGAGCTGTCGTTTTCAAGAAACAAACAGCACCTTACCTGAGCTTGGAATCCGAGCAGATAACTTTATTTCCGCACGTTTTACTCCGAATACTTACTAACTTAATCTTCGGAGGAGGACCACCGACCATCCGGCGGTCCGTTTGCTTTGCAGGTACAGGCGCCCTTTGCTGAATCCAGTCTTAGTGTTGTAACTCTCCCACGGGACAAAAACCCCCGGAACACTGATTGTCGAGGAGTTAAGGAATAAACAGATTCTGCAGAAGCGGTAACCTTTGTGAAATATATATCTTCCAATTTGTTCATGAGTCTAGGGGCAGCAACCTCACTGGGTTACTCAAAACGTCAGACTCTAAGGCTTCTCCAAGACCAACAATGCCAGCATGTCGTAGAAGTTGTGTTTGCAACCCAGTAGACTGTAACCGAGAAGCAAGAAAACCATAATGACGAACATCACCTGCTGAATAAACATCAAGTCCTCCAAACGCAAAAGGTAAGGTGGCAAGCCGCCACTGCCAATGGCCAAACCCAGACCCTGGAGCAGTAACAATCCGCTCTAAGGAAGATCGAAGAGCCCCATCGAAAGTGCGTTGAGCCGCCTCAAAAGTACCAAGAGGACAAGTACGCAATGCAAAGTAGAGTTTAGAAACTCTGGTACATGCCCTAAATTACAACAAATCACACTGAGGGTCATCCATCATAGTAACCTTATCCATAAGGGCAATGGTCTTGGTCACCCTCTGCATCACAAGCTCACCACTAAAACCAGAATCAAAACTAGCGAGACCACCAAGCAACTTAACACCACAAAGGTCGAGAAATATTAGGTGGAAAGACACCCACAAGCCTGCTTCGAGGATCTGTTGTAGGCCAGAAAACTTCTGTTTTTTTCCACGTTAAGTCGTAACCCAGAACGAGGCCCTTCCTCCATAATCAATTGCAGAACCTTCCCCGTCACCAATGTGTCACCAATAATAGTGTCGTCATTCAAATACCAAGCCTGAAGGCAAACATCAAAAGTCTCTCGGATTTTACACACCAGGGGTTGTAAACCAAAGCAAAAAGCAAAGGACCAAGTGGATCACCCTGTTGCACCCTTTGAGACGACCATAAGGGTTGGTCCCATAATATAATCTGGCTGGATTAGAATAGCAGAATTCTACCCATCGCGAAAAGCCCGGACAACAGCAACGTACTTCACGTAACATAATCGAATGATCAACTAGATTGAAAGCGTTTTGAAAATCCACCAACAACATAGAAAGACCAACTTAGAACCACGGTCCTCAATCAACCGATTCACTGTATGAAGAATTGTCTCACCACCTGAAGAAACCCCAACACCAAATTGAAGACCATCAAAGTAACAACCTAAAGACCGACAAATTATAACATCACCCACCTTTGAAACTAGACGCCGCCAAATCGTACCCACAACAATAGGACGAATACCACCACTGGGCTTGACAAGTGGTGTAAGAGGAGCACTAGCAATATACTCTCCTAATTGGATAGGACATCTTCCAGCTAGAAAGAGATTAAACCACCCCGGTAATAGAGTCAACTAACTCATCTGAGACTGCCACAGCTGCACCACTCAAGCAATCCATAAGATGTTGAGCACGCAAACCATCCCTACCACATGATGTGCCACGAGAGAAACTCTTAATCCGATCCTAAACAACAGTAGAAGTCGTATCGAGATGAAGGTTATCAACAAGTATATCAGGCAAGGATGGAGCTGGAGACGAAGGATACTTTGACTGTAAATCCGCAAGAGTGGCGTCATTATAAGGAGCAACGCCTGAAAAAGAAAGAACCTGAATTGCAGCTGTGTAATGGCCATCACAAATCTTCCTACAGCACTGCTTAATATTACGCTCTTTCAAATCAATGTCTTCATCATCAACCACCGACAAACTTGCTAAAACTTGTATCAACCACCGATAGTAATTATTATTATTAGTATTATTATTATTATTTTACACACTTATTGCTAAAACATGTATCAATTATATTGTGCAAAATGGTAGATAAGGATATGGGAATTATTCCAAACTAGTTGCCTTCGGTGTGCCCCGCCTAAACACATTACGTCATAGATACATTTGTCGATAGCCATTACCACAGACTGATTCCTCGAACAAAGTATGGCTGAGAAAGAAAAACAAAAGCAGCCCTAGAATGCTAGTATTGGATTTATAAACAGAATGACTATTATTATCAGCAAATATAGATTAGTCCCAACAGAAAAGATTGAACATTAGACACTAAAATAAACGTACTTTTTTCTGTTCTTGATCAATCCACTAAGAATAACCTTAATATACCTACATGAAATTCCTTCATTTGAGGAAATTTACCACTGTTACATGTGTAAAATATTTACAAAGAATGGAGTAATGTCAAACTCTACCATGCAGCTTGATCTTATTTATCTGCTGCATTTTCTGGCAAAGCTGGGCCCTTGCAAATTGGACATGCGTTCTTCATAGATAACCATTTCTTGATGCAGCTGACATGATAATCGTGTCCGCAAGCTTTAAGGGTTCCAACATCGTCCATATGCCTGTATTCCTCCTGCCAAAACAAGGTAACTGCTTTGTTAACAACAGTAAGAATTTCAAAAACAAAAATGGGCTGGACAGGGTAAAAAAAAACAGCAAGGGTTCCAACTATACAATTCCATCTATAATAACTGTCACATCTCCAAACTTTGCCTTATGTTTGCTTTTGTTGTTTTCCACTGAGATATCTATTCTGGGTGAAATGCTTGTTCAGGACCACAGGAGGGCCAAAGCTTGCACTGTTTTCGAACTTAGGCCAGAACGTGCTAAATTGTTTTTTATTTTTTTTCTTTCCCCCAAGAATCTTCCTCTCACTTGAATTCCAATCGCCAAAGACATGCTTAGTTTCAAAATATATTTTATTCCTGAAGAATAAGTGGTTGAACTTGTCCATGATCATCCTCTCTTACTGATTTCAATCGCCAAAGATTCTGTCTGACAATGTTATCTATATGGTCAAGATTCTTTACAACCCTTCAATGGTGGAAGCAAAGGGATATACCAAAGGCAAATACTTTATAGTTCGAATTTAGCAGCAACTAAATCTGTTTTTATTCTCATGTAGTCATGTCCATCTTTAAATATTGCAGCTTAAGGCTCTATTTCAGTCTCTAAAAGACCATCATAAATACACCCTAGTAATATAGCACACAATGGCATGTCAGCATTTCACAAAAAGCGAAAGGTTCGTGGGATAGAACAATACCAGGCATATTACACATCTTCCTTCTTCCTGCACCTGATCTGATGAACAGTATACAGTTTCTGTCACACACTTGGATAGAACAATACCAGGCATATTACACATCTTCCTTCTTCCTGCACCTGATCTGATGAACAGTATACAGTTTCTGTCACACACTTGGGCAATTGATCTTCACGTAACCCAGTGTTGACACTTCCAATCCTCTCTCCAAGTGCAAGCAATTCCTGTTCATCATTAAATGTTAGAGAAATACAATTAATAAAAGCCAGAGAGATATACATAAATTGAATTTAATTACACAAACCTCATAGCTCATGTTGTCTACATCTAATCTCATGTCTCGATGTTGATCCATGAAACTCCTTGAACCATAAAGCGAAGAACGGTCAACAGCCATCAGACCCTAAAAAATAAATTAAATCCAAAACAGCAGAGTCAATCAGAAAATTACAAGCATAAAGATATAAAAAAATCAATCACATAACATTATTATAATCATTACAATAGAAATTCACGGACTTAAGAAGATATGTCTACAGAGTGCCCCCCTTTATCACACAAAACGGTCACAACCCATGCACACGAGCACTAAAGACACACATGGGGATTGAGCATAATTAAGCACCCCGAGAGGATGCTGGAACGAGCGTGTATTTATATAACTCCAAGTCCCCAACATGATCAGCCAGTCTAGGTTATTTGCCTCAATGTAATGAGCAAATGATTTTGCTCACATCACAACCGTAACAAAATGAAAATGAGTATCTCTTTCTAATGAAAGATCAATTTTAGAGAATATGACTGTACTTTAATGAACTTTCTTCATACTCTCCTGTTACTTCTTCACTCTGGTAGGATTACATTTCATCACTCACATTTTATGACTTTTGAATTATAGTACTGCATAAACTATAAGATGGACGAGGTTGTGTGATGCTAGTTCGACTTTGGTTTCGATTTGAATTGATGCAACTGTTCTAGCAAAAATCAAAGAGAAGGGACAAAACAGAAATGACGGATCATCTTATTGACAAAGATCATGATCTCACTTCTCTATGTTCTATCTTAGTCGAGTAGAACAATGGAGAAAGGGTGCACTGGAACCTCATCTAGGTTACTCAAAATGGCCAAGAAATACACCCAAAGGACCATAAGAAATAGGTAGACACTTCTGGTGCAGAGGCAGTTGCTGCAACCAGGTTGCACTGTTGCATGACCAGGTGAAGAGGGAGCGCAGGGCTATTTGGTCACCTTTACACTCCCCCCGTTTTTTAATTACTTGCTTCATTTCTCCATCTGCGGAGTTTTAGTGGAAATTGGAGAAGTAATAAAATATGGAGGTAGTGGGGTTGGTGGAAGAATAAAAAAATTGTAAAAAGCAAAAGTAGTTGAGATAATTGGAGGAATAAGAATATGAAATTAATAAAATATAATTTATGTCGGGCCCACTAGTTGAGAGAAGTGAATTAAATATTGTAAAATCTCCCAAAATAAGGAAAATAGAACAAGTATTTAAAAACGGCCGGAAATGGAAAATGGAGCAAGTAATTAAAAACAGAGGGCGTAACTATATATGTGAGAACAGGCAAATATTTACTTCAGAAATATTGAATGTTTTAGATTAAGCCAAATGACAATTTTAAGTGAGCATCAGCAATTGCTTCCACTTACACCTACCATCAATCAAAGTCGTAATCCCGTAAGTGGGGTTGGGTACATGAACCAAAAGTGATTATTCCATGTAGCAAATATAGATCTTGTGCTCTAATGCAAATAAGCACAATGATGATAGAGAAGCAGCCAGCCAGCTGAGTGAGAAGGGTGTACAACAGGTCTGAGTTTTAGTGCAAGCGGCTAAACCCAATCTGAGGGATTCAGCCCATTAAAGTTGAGGAAAGGTGAGTTATGGGCTTAGACTGGCCTTAAAAATGAACAATAGATCTTACCAATGAAATGAAACTGTACACACACACACACACACACACACAATAAAATAACATAACATAAAAAGCTGACAACAAAATTAAAAAGTTTGTATACCTCAGGTGTCAGGCGATCATGGACGCCAGCATCCTCAGAAAGCAAACGGTATCTCTCTGAAGAAAGCCTAGATCTACCACTCCTGTCACCATTGCGCCATCCTACAGGACCAAATTGTCTTGGATGTCTTGCAGAGTGAGCCTCTCCCATCAAATGAAGACCTTCATCGGGAGGAGCCACATGGGTCACACGCATATTGCCCATTGAAACTCTGCCATTAGGAGTGGACCTGTGTGAATAGCTACTTCGAACTCCCCTTGTATGCGATGGAGTAGGATGCAAATTTTGTGATAGAGAATTTCTGCTGGCAATATGTTCATGGTGATATCCAGGCATATCTCCAGAAGAGTTTGCTATGCTGCTTCCAGGAAAGAAGTGATTACCCTCATGACTCAAACTACTTATAGTCCTTCCATGAGGAGCACCAGATACATGAATAGGCGTCCATTCTGGTAAAGGAACACCAGGGTTTGGATTTACATCAACTATTCCAGGGTGGTCAATTGGAAGTCTACTAGAACTGGGATGGTGAGGATAATTAGTTGGGAGATGGGTCCTATAATTATCCGACTCCGAGTCCAATGTGGATCGGCTTCTCACATTCCTCATAGAGGTTTCATTTCCAATTGAAAGTTGATTGGTTCTGTAAATGGTAGGAACAGCCAGTGATTCCCAGTGATTATGTTGAGCATCCACAGTTGATTTTTCCTGATGCAAATCTGATGATGATGACACATCAGATGAACTTCCAGCACAATAATATCTGCTTGCGCTTCCCCTTTCAGCCATAGCAGGGATCCCAGGGCTTTTCCTTTTGTATGGACCCCTTCCATTGCTCAATGAAAGATCAAAAAAGTTGTTTTCAACTCCATAATTTGAGGAAGATGCATGATGAACATGATTTTCAGGAACCATGAAGGCATTTCCACCAGCAGATGGATGCATAGAATCACGAGAAGGGTCAGAAGAATCAGGTTGATAATGGGGTGCATTCACCATCTGGCTTGATGAAGAGTATCCACTTAATCTTGTAGCAGGATTCCACGGAGAAACATAATGAACTCGGTCTACAGGTCCATTCTCCATGGGATGAAATATTGGGGCATTTTCTGCAGAACTAGTTCTAGCTGCAATAAAATGTAAATGGTATTTAGTTGATATCAGTACAGAATGCAACTTTTGACAGGATGAGAAAAGGCTGAAAACAAGAGCAAAAAACATAGTTAGACACAAAGAACATACAACCACTACTGCCCCCCGCAAATCTCCATTTTGCACCAAAATTTCAAATTGACAAAAAATAAAGATAAATAACCCCACCAGAATAAGTGTGCATGATCTTTGAAAAAACAATGATAAAATCATCAATCTTTAGTCCGAAGGCAATTAGAACAGAAATACGATCAGGTCATCTCTTGAAGTATACCACCGACTTTGAACGTGAAACTAGTAGAATATAATGGAAATATTATAAAAAGAACTAATTCATGCTCACAGTAAATGCATTACAAATTACGATGCCAGAAAACTCGCAACAATAACCATCCTAACCAGATGGCTCAATAAAATTTTACCCATAACTTAAACGGTAAAATTAATTAATACATCTACCAATAATGCAAATAGCATATGTAGCTGGAAAAATATAATCTAATAAAAACACAATATATGAAAATGTGAACAAAATTATATCTGATTACCAAAGTGAAGATACGGATCTTCAGTAAGATTCCAGGGTTGATCAGTATCAGCCTCAAATATTTGTGATGTATTGTATATGTGTCTGTGTGCCATAATCACATCCAGCACAGCAGGGATTTAGCCCAAGACCCAATCAGAAAAAATACAGCCTGCACCAGAAGAAAGATCCCGAATATTAGGAATCTGATCATTCAAATGCACATTAAGCTACATGATATAAGTATATATATTGAGATGAACCCAGCTTCGGATATTTTGGACAACATTGTTGTTTTCATATTGCTAAAAGATCAGCATTGACATATTCTAGCAATCAAAGAATACTAAATTACACAAAAATGAATTCATTCTGAATCTCAAATCTGAAAAGTGGAATCATTACCCAACCAAATCAACTAGCCAATTATAACCCAAAGAGGTTGCATAGATTCAGGTAAAGGGAATGGACAACAAGTTCAGCAACTCTATAAACTTAGATCAACTGATATAATATCCATGATCATAATGTGTAATAGAAAAAGAGAAAGAACAAAGAATTGCCATAGTTCAAGTGTGTAAATAAATAAAATAGAAGGAAATGAGTCTTCATAAGGTACACACAAATCATGTAGAGGTCTGAGGATGTTAATTTTTTCCGCCAAATGATAAGTGAACAACGAGGCTGTGTACTACAGACAATGCAACACTATTCATCTCCACACTCCATTCTTAAACAAAAACACTAATAAAAGTCTTAATTTTTATTTTTCCAGAGGAAACTATACCCTTGCATAGTTTACCTCTATGGAAGTATTTGGCAACTAAAGCTACCCTTTTGATGCCAGTACGTAAGTACAATGTACCATTATATATATGCAGACTGATACACATATAGGCAAGTAAGTTGTGGAGATTCCATTGACCAATTTAGAGTTGAAGGGAGCAGTAAGCATTTAACAAGCCTGACCAAAAGCATTTACAAATAGTAGAAAAGACGGTATTATTATAACTCACAACAGTTAAACAAGTACTAGACCTATAATATTAACAGAAAAATAGGTTTGTACTTCTACTTTGGTTTACCTTTTACAATGTATCAGATGACTTGTTCAGTCATTCAAACACTTAGCAGTCAGCACTGTCTTTACAGTGTACATGTAATCAGCTAGTGCAATCAGACTAACATTGAAGAATATATACACAGGGTGACTTGAGAACATTAGAGAATGGCAGGGAAGGGGCAAACCTTAAGTAAAAAAGAAGACTAGAATATGTAACTGAAAAATCAATGCTGATCTCTGCCAACCTAAGAATTAACACTTTAAACAAGGAATTTTTTTTATTTTTTTGGGATGTTAGCAATTTCATGAGTCAGGGAAGCATATCCAAGTCAGAAATGGTTTTTTATTTTTTTTAAATGTAAGTCAGAAATCATTCAGACAAAAGAAAAATCCCAACTATTACATGCCCACTAAGGAACTGTACAGCTCAAACTAATAGCATGGCAGAGGATTAGAGGATCATTAAATCACCAATAGTCATTTATAATTCCCCACACATGTCAAGGAGCAAAGTTCGATCGCCTACATCCAGCAATTATGTGTTAGTATTGACTATAACCAGCACAACATAGACCTACCCTTTCATGATTATATATAATTTTATGAAGGAAAATAGAAGATAAACATGCTAACTAAAAGATCTAGAGAAAAGGTCCAGAGACAATGCATTCTTATATGTATAAGAAATAAGCCAATTCAAAAAATGAAGACCTTGTAATATAAGAATAGCAATGACCAGAGAGGGGGGGGGTTGCAAGAGGTACATACACACATAATGTCAGCTTTCAGAAAGGATTTGAATACATGTAGTCATGCAAGAAGAATCAAGAACAGTTTCAGTAGTTTTATACTTTCACAAGCTAAAACTTGCTTTAACGCAGTTTCATAAGACTAAATGTGCAAGAAAGTTAAAGCAACAAAGTCCAATAATTTACAAGAAAAATATGAGACAACTAAGTCATTAATGTGAAGCAACATTACATTTAAAAAAATAGTACGATATTGCAAATTCACCAAGTCGATCTACATAAACAAAACTGTACACTTAGGACCAGAAAGTAGATGCACACTACTAAATTCATATTAAATTCAACCCCAAGAGATTCTACAAGCAATTTTACATAAAATCTCAGTACCCACAAGTTGCTTGTAACTTGACTACAACACCAAGTAATTCAGCCTTACAAACAAACCCATGCATCAACAAAGGAAGAAAAAGGATAGCAGCATCGAAACAGAAGTAAAAAAGATAAATGGCAAACAATCAGAAATATGATGGGTTATATGAGTTCTTAATACAATTACACAAAAAAGGCATCATCATCTTGGTTGCAAATATTTTTATATAATTTCGTAAAAAAGAGAGTGTCTTCAGCTTGTTTGTTGTATGTTATATAAGATGATGAGTAAAAATTAAATTAACGTTAAGAAAAGAATGATTGGAACAATCAGCTTCCTAAATGCTTTCTAACAAAATCAATATACGTATACTAAAGGCGAAACTAGAAATGACACTTGTCATAACCTAGTTAAAAAATTTCCCTCCAAAAGGTTTTTTTTTTTTTTTTTTTTTGCCAAAGCTTCTTAGAGAAGTATTTAATTTAATACTTACTTTACAATAATATTTCTTTTCTATTTGGCAAGTATATTCGTTTTTACACATTCAGCAAAGATTTATAAATTTATTTATTTTATGACGGGAACAAAGTCATGTAAAACAATAATGTAATATTATCTATAACTTTGTAATGTAATCCATATTTACTTTTATTAGTTGTGCATGCATTTCTTCCTCTGTTTTCTTTAAAGATTCAAAAAAATTATAATTACAAAACTTTCATCCTATTTTGCAATTTAATATTATTTTTTATAGTAAAATAATTGTATTAAACTAATGATAAATATTGAAGTTACTGTGCATGGCACGGGATCTAACCTAGTATTGTGCTAAATCTAATAATGCCACATGTAAGTTTGTCATGCTATTGCTCATTATTAGTAGATATATGAAGGACCAACCCCATATATTTAACCAAAAAAAAAAAAGAAAAAAAAAATCCAATAATTCAATACCCTGAAAAAAATTAGTTCAAACACCTGGGCCTCCTATAAAACAACATTCAGCAAAACAATGTTTGCTGTCAACCCCAACAATAGGGCCACCAGGATAACTCTCTTGCTTCTGAAAAGGCCACCTTGTGTATTCCTCTAAGATCACACAGATGATCCAACAATAAAAAACATGTCCTCAAAGCATAGACATATAATAACATGTAATTGAGCAGAAACACAATGCTCCAAAATTACACAAGGCTATTTGAATACAGTTGTCAAGGCATCACACTCAGCAATTCATCTACTTCATAATCGTTAAAGAAATGCAGACATTACGCTGCAGCTAATTCCTCATTAAAATTGAACATTTAAAATTTTCCCAATCACCTGGAAGCATAACAGAACAGAAGAATTTCTATCAAGAAATGCTAGACCAGCTTTCAGGCATATCTCCAAAAAGGATCAAAATCTGCAGGCATACAGTATAATAATCTTTTCTCAGGATATTTCAGCACAAAACAGTAGGATAAGACCAATTACTTCAAAAGACTACAGTGTGAGGTCACACCCATCAATCCAAAAAAAAAGCAATTATTGAAAATAATACGAATTAAGAAAATCTTCTCATGAGAAGAGCCTTCTAAAGTTTTTATTTTATTTTTTTTTTTAACTTGAAAAGACTCGCATAAAATCCTATTTTTATACTTTGTCACTCATATAAAATAGGTTTTAATGTAAACATATACTTTTGCTAAAGGTTATGCTTTCGAGTCATTTTTGCCCATATATTTGCAATTATTTTTATTACAACTCTACATTATTATCTCTACCTCTACCTCTACCTCTACATTTAGCTTTCTAAGTGATACAGTTCAAATGATTTACCATAGATCCTAAAGTTTCAAATAGTTTCAGGTGTTTCAGCTACTATTAAGTATTAAGTAGATGCTCTTTAAAATATAAAAATAAAAAGATCTCAAGAACATTATCAGTGAATCCCACATATTCAATTCTCTAATTATGATGCTTAAAATTTTTATTTTGAATTAAAATATGGGAAGAAAAAAAAAAAAACTACTACCTCCTTTTCAAACTACTTGCACCAATTACCTAATTGGTGTATCCTGAATTCCTGATTTACTTGTCTCATTTCCTTTTAAGAAATATTCTCTCTCTACTTTTTTTCTTGAGTTGTGACCCACACTCACCCACCAAGTTTTATCTCTTTACTTTTTCACTTGTATAAAATCCTTAACAAATGGCTATGGGATAAAATAATTAAGGCAAAAGGATTATAAAAAATCTTCTCATCTTTTAATTTTTGCTCTCTCTTCCCTTGGGCTACTCGTCATTGTATGTCCCTTAACTCCACCTTTCTGTCCATCTCTCTCCTGATCCCATCTCTTCAATGAAATCCTATAAGAGTTCACAACAGTCCAAGTTTAATAATTAAATCTAGGATAATTAGATGCGTACTGTCATAAAAAGCTGCATATCCAGTAAACAGTACCATGGTGGCAGCCAGGTTGAACCTTAATGCAGTCAGGACTGATTCCTAGTCAACTCAAAAGAGCCAATAGCGACGCAAAAGCCACAGAACTAAGACCCTCTTAGAAGAATTTTAGGGATAGGAATATATATAAATAATAAGAAGAAAATAATTAATAAAAAGATTGTGGAACCGACTCTGGGTAATTTCATTAAAGATCTAAAAAGACAAACAACATGAAAAAGTTGAGGAAAAGCTGTCATAAATGCTAGTACAATCACAATAACAAGCTAAGTTAAAGATGAGAAACATAAAAGAGGGACATATAATGCACAAGATAATTTGAAAAATGGATCTGCTAACCTGAAATTTTGGCAATATAGATGTCAAATATCGATGACTAACGGATAGAGAGACAAATTTGAACAAAATAAAATAGTAAAATAATTAAAAAAGGGTCAACATAAAAAAAAATTTAAAAAAAAAATTTTAAAAAAAAAAAAACTGAGAAAATTGATAAGAGATGCTAATACATCAAAAGACATTGTTCTTGGTAAAAACTTGCCACATAAAACTCATAACATCCATTTACTTTCCAAATGAATTGGCACATCATACACAACATCTTGGCATTGTCTTCTTATAATAAGAAACCTAATGCTTGAACCGCAATCTCGTTTTTAAGAGAGTGCAACTCCAACCAACAATCTAATAATACATCTAATAACCACAATCCAAACCATTAAAATTCTTGCACAAGTGAGACCAATGACTTATTTGTTGGCAAGATTTATTCATAAAACCTAAATATTGGTGCTAGAATTTCTTTTATTCACAAACTATACATATACATAACTAGTCAATTTTTTCCATCTTTGCTGCGGATATATAGGTGCAACACCCTATGAAGCAATTATACCTTGTGCTGCAATTAAATTAAATGACAGTTGATTTTCTGTTTGATTTGAATATCATTTGAAAGCAGCATATTCAGACAGTTGTCAGCAAGTATTCCTGACTACAGATTACCTGACTTAAAATTAGGATACTAAAGAAAAATTCTTAACTCGAATCAGAGTTAATAACACTATAAGAAAGATTTCATTGGGAAAATGTAGAAATTCTATTTTGATATTTTTTTTTGTCCACTAAACATTCAGCAAGCCAATAAGAAGAATAACCTCTTCGGATATTAGTGAAAGATTTTTCAAACTCTGCAAAATACGCTTTAAACTTTTAGTGATAGTCTATTGTATCACACAAATTATCAAGAAATCAACCAACCTCATAAAAAAATAATAAATAAACACTTTTGATCATGGAAATGAATGAAGAAATACTAAGTCACTAAAATTGAAGCAACTAAAATTCTTGGAAATGAACTTCACTCACCAAAAAATAAGGTCAATGAAAAACTTAAAAGCTTTCTTTTGAACTTACACAGAACTTAGAAATACTCTGAAGCTCAACCAAAAATTAATTACCCATGATGGTGCTGTATTTTCATAAATTTAATTCATGGACAAGAAATAATCATAATAAGATTCACCAAACAAAAACATACATACTCTTTACGTGTAAAATTATGATATAAAATACATATATATACATAATAACAATATATTATCACACCCAACTTTCAGAAGAATTATATGGCTTTATTAACAGAAAATTCGATGTTAAACAAAGAGAAAAGAACTCACCTGCTCTAATAATTCCTCATGCTCTTCCAAATCCAAACTAGCTGCAGAAAACATATATATCTACGATATTTATATAATCATTGCTATTTTGTATTTGTTGAGCTATTATGAACTTTTATAAGACAATTCATTAGTTTATATAAGACTATATGCTTCTAACTCCTCCTTCCCTCTTCCCTCTTCCCTCTTCCCTCTTCCCTCTTTCCCCTTTCCCTAGAAAGGCCAGACGATTCACTTGAGAGAGTGACATTTGTTATTTTGCTGGAGTCACTTCTACAAGTTTCATCTCCTTTCTAAACTAAACAGTATTGTGTACATTCACCACTGGAGCATAACTAACTCTGACATTGACCATCAGCTTTCTTTCTTTCTTAATTCACACATTCTGTTGGTTTCTATATAGATTGATGGCTTTCATGCAAATCATATTTAGATTAAACGTGCCCGTATCTGTCTAAATTCTAAGGGAAGTAATGTGAAATGATCTCCATAGCAGATACACAGACGTTATGCAGCAATCTCTAAAATCAGAGCCCTTCAAACTTGGCATACCACATGTGCTCATGCAAACAGAGATAGATCAATGATTTCTTTTACAGATATGAATTATTATGCAAGTATCAATTCCATCATAAGTTGTGCACAAGATTCCCAATAACCAAAACCAACAATGTTGTTTCTCTTACCTCATAGTCTTACACTCTTGCACAAGGATGATTCATAAGGTGCTTTTGCAATAATTAACTACAGTACTAGTATGTTAAGACGTCAATCAACAACCGAAGTTTCATTTTTCAGTTTCAAGATATACGTCTCAACTTCTTCACTTTCAACAGCCCCATATTTAACAACCAATTATTCCTCTCAAGCACGTAGCAAGTTCTCTTTCACCTTATTTGACACCTCCCCACCCCAATAGAATTTTCTCAAAGAAAAGAAGAAACTTCTTCACTTTTTATTCCCCCTTTTTTTTTCATTTTTTTTTTTTTTTTGGGGGGGTGGGGGGGGACAGTAATCCCATATCTTTCTTTACTAGACATGCAATCTAACTTATGTCAATTTAAGAAAAATAAAATTATAACCACCAAGTAAATATGCATTGTCCTATACCAGCAGCATTTAATATGTTTACAGGTAATACATGCAAATTTAACTTAAAAACATAAGGTCCAAAAGAAGAGGTCTTAATAGATTGGACATCTTGACATAATTTTACTTTAGGTTTTCTGTTTACAATTGGGGCTTCATAACAAAAGATTAAACCAAAAAATTTAGAACAATAACTATCCATGTCACTTATGACTTTTACATTAATCTGTCATGGATAAGAAATCTGACAAGAATACTAATCACTGTGTAATTATCTCACTAACAGAAAGGAACAAGAAGTCAAAATTGCAAAAAGAAACATATACAGAAAAGAAGGTATTATTCATGGAAAAGCATTACAATACTCCAATTTATTAATTTTCAAATTAATAAGTCATTCTGTACAGCAAATGGGAGTGCCCAACATCTATAAGAGCAATAATCTAAACAAATAACAGAGACGTAATGCTGTACAGCATAAAGGCATGAAGCCTATAGCTACAAGAGAAATAATCTCAATAGGAGAATAATAATGTATGGGAAACGGCAAACAGGGCACCACAATTTTGGCAACCACAAGTAGAATAATTTCCTGCTTATTCCACACTGGTTGTTAGTTTTCCTTCTCTCAGGACAATGATGCATTGCTCATCTTAGATGCTAAGTGCACAGGCCTTGGCATACAGAATCCCACCAACTCAAGGCTCAATGTGTAGGTTCTTCTGAGTCAGATACCACCATAACCTAAGGACAACTGGAAAATAAATTTGCTATAGGATCTGCATAATGCACATATAGCCCTGGCAGTAACGAAATTGCTACAGTCAGAAAAATACCTCCCACTGCAAACTAATGAAGTCTCTCCGATTCATACCAAAGTAAAGATTAAACTCCACCAACCTAATACAGATGTCGGCAACTACCTGAGGCCATTCTTTGGAAAACCCTCTCTTTCCCCCAACACTAAGAATGTGTCAACTTCAATTTGAACCATCTCCCATCCCTCAAATGAAGGAGATGATTTCAGGATATCATATGAGAATTGGGGGGTAAGGGTCCAATGTTTAGAACATTGGTAAAAGGTCCATTTGGAATAGCTTCTCTGCAATAAGATAATAGATAATTAGCACATAGTAGTCAGACTTACTATTTTGCGATCCAAACTTATCGTAGACAATTTCAAATTTCTGCTACCCCTCTTAAATCAACTAAATAGGTATGTCTGTGTAAGCTATGACAAGTCAAGAAAGTCTTCAAATTACAAACCTCATCTCCTATTTACTTAATTACAGAAATTTGGAGGCACATATTATATCTAATATATTAATATAACACTATTACAAAACAAAATTTTGTCTTTCCAACACATTAAACCAGCCAGGTTCTAGATATTACAAAAAAAAATATTAAACAAAATAATCCATACCCACAATACATACTATATATTCTAATAGCAACTAAAAAAATGTTACACCTAATAATTAAGGATATACAATGCATGTTAATTCAATCACATCCTCAACCCCAAACAAACTAAATTAGAAGTTATCAACTAAACACCTTTTGTGAATACTAATCTCTCCCTCTATGGTGAATAGCACCTTGGGTGGACAAGACTACAGGACAGAAGCAAAAAAGATATGTACGTGAAGGATATCTTGATAAATAGAACACTAGCAAACCTACTACTCATTGCTAAGAAGTGGCCCAGCCTAGTTAATAGTTATCTAATGCTCAAAAATAGCAAACTAAACACCTTCTGTAGCTACTTAGTGCTAATTTTGTACCTCTGTGGCAGATCTTACCTTGGATGGGTAAGACCGCAAGAGGGATCAAATTGAAGTAAAAGCTAATTTCACATAAGCACTTCATTGGATGAACATTAGCCCAAGATAGCTAATGATTTGATCTACTCAATAGTAATCAAATGTCAAAATTAAACTACATCTCTTGTCCACTCCTACCCATCAAAAAAATTTCACCTCTTTCTCTCCCTAACATATACACGCGAATCCCACCTCCCAATAGAAACTCTCCACTATACATCCTCCACAACAATAAAACTACTACACAATTCAAAACAATCACCCAATACTAATCCTGCTACTATCCCCACTATCTAAGAGCTGCAAAACCTCTCAAAAATCACTCAACCATCAATCTTGCGCCAGTAGAAGCCGAGTTAACTATGTACTACCAAGAAGTTTACAGAATCTCCTCATACAAATCATAGCCCACGAAAAATCACCCGCTAAATTACTAATTAACCTGATCAAACTACAGAAAATCAGTATTTACAGCTGACCGATACCTGAAATACAGAATCACCAAAGAATAAATTCCTTTCTACAGTTCCTTTTTGTTAGGTATAAATTCTTCCTGATTTAAGCACAAAATTAAGCTTAAAAAGCCAATGAAAAAGAACCATAATCATCAAAACACCCAAAAGAAAAATCATGAAATTGGCAAACAAAACAATCAATCAATCCAAGCACAAATCAAACCATAAAATTGAACAAAAAAAATACACTAAATTCAATCAAATAAAACCAATCACTAACCAAATTAAGATCAAACAACATCAAAAAATCCATGATCGGACAACAAACAATCAACAACCACTAAAATCCAAACATAAATAAACAAAATTGAGTACATAAAATCAAAAAAAAAGAAAAACGATCAGATTGATGAAGATCATCAAAGAATCAAACCTTAGTAGAGCGATGAACGAATCAAACGGTTAGCATGCGGTTGAAAAGAGGAGAGAGATTAGGGGAAGGAGAGTAAAAAATTGTTGGTAAGAAGAATGAATGAATGAATGAAAGAGGCGATGGAAATAAAGAAAGAAAGAGTTGTCAAAGAAATAAAAAGAAAGGAAATGTTATGTTGTGTTCAATGTGTTGTGGGGTGGTGTTGTGGGGTTAGGTGGTTGATTCACACGAATATAGAAGAGAAAGACCAAAGGCAAGAGGAAAGAGGAAAGAGGATTTTGATTTGAATGAATTGTAAGTAGTTGCCTTCGGAAGTTGTACAAGTTTTCTATTGTTGTAAAGAGAGAGAGAGGTAGGGAGGGTGCGTAATTATGTAATCGTTACTTCGTCTTTGCCATGATCCACAAGCAAAAAGATTATGCTCCACGCCGCTATCTTTTTATTTTTTAATGTCTATGTGTATGGTGTTTATAAGAATTATACATATGGGATATGGGTTATTTGTAGAGTTGTCAATTCGGATATTTGGGTTGGGTTCAGTACGGTTAGGAATTTAAGCATATGGGATGTATGGATCATTTGTAGAGCTATCAATTCGGGTGTCTAGGTCAGGTTCAGTAAGGTCAGGTGAATTCAGGTCTATTTCACGTTTGAATGATGCTATAATATTAAATCTATACAAGTTGAAGTATTAATCGAGTTTTATTCAGGTTGGTTTCGAATAGGTTTAGATTTTGACACCTCTAGTCATTTGCCAATTATGTGTTAGACTACTAGGCAAGATTTGGTGTAGTTAGTGAGGAATTCACCTTATAGCGTTGAAATTACAAGATCGAAGCTTTCTACTCCCTTCGTTTAATAACAATCGCAACACATGTACAACTTTGACCATTAATAATTGTTATTATATATTATTAAGAAGTGTAAAAGGTTAATATAATGAAAATATACATAAGATTATCCAAAGATAGTTTAGATCGCAACATATGTTTTTTGTATATTGAAAAAAGTATAGTCAAAGTAACCATAAGAATAGTGCAAAAGTCATACTGTTGCGATTATTATGAAACGAAAGGAGTAGTTAACAACTATCCAATCAAGATAACCAACAATAATGTTGGCTCAATTTGTGATCAAATAGATGTTGCCAATGGCGAAACCAAAATTTTTAAGCGAGGGGGGCCAAGATCATATCTATATATGTGTAATTTCGCAACTATTATTGAGTTCATTGATTACATTTACTATTAAAAACCAAATTGTTAGTTGAAGATTTGAACTCTTTACCTCTTGTTCACTATCACATGGCAAAAATCAACTTCTCTACACTAAATCTTATTTTAATTGTATGCAAAATTTAATATTTATTTTGAGCCAAGAGGGGGCCATGGCCTACCCCAGCCCTTGGATATAGCACATGGTTATACATAACAGAAGAATATAAAGAATTCGTGAATAGTGTGAGTGTCGAAAGAGTAGGTGGGTATATATTTTTATACATCAAATGAGTGAAACAATTAGAGTTATAGGGATATATTTAGGAATTAATTACGTAATTATTATTGATTTATAGATGAGTAGATTGATAAATGAAGAATATAATCTTGTTTTAATTAGAAATTTTTTTTATTTTATTTACTAGGGGATTGATTTATTAAATTAGTAATTGGAAATTTATAAATTTACGGAATACTTGACTCTTAAAATCTATATAATTTCTATCTATTAAAAGGCATTGATTGTTTTTATCAAGAATCGAAAATGGGTCCTGTAGGGAAAATTTCAAGCATTATCCCAAACTTGAACCCCACTGTGACCATACACTTAAGTACGGTAGCGTCCAAAGGGAAAGAAGAAAGAGCAAAAGAGTCGTCAACAAGTTTTAGGAACTTGTAAACCGTTCACGAGGTGAAGGTTACACCCCTTAACGATCCAGGAGATCGTCAACTCCAATAGGTCTAGAACCATGACTGGTAGTTCGAGGATGAAGGTACAAATCCAACCTAAAAGAGATTGAACCTGCCCTAATACTAGGCCTCTACTTTATTCTGATCATATTCATATGCGCTTTCTGACTAACATGCAATCAATAGGATTACCCTAAACCTGTTTATCTATGTTTGTTGAATATTAATGCACAAACAAAATAATTATTGGCGATCACTTGAATTATAATCATATTAACTCTAAACAAGATTATTAATTATCTTATTAAGCGTGATTACAAGTACCGATTCCCTTTAAACATGCATAAAAAGCGTGATCAAGCAATAACAATAATATAAATAAGGAACATAATAATAATCATAATAATTATAAAAATAATCATAAATCATAACAATAATAATTATAATCATAATCATGATCATAATAATCATAATAATAATAATAATAATCATGTTAAAGCATAATATTAATAGCAAGATCCTAGGCATGATACTAAAAAGATTAATAACAAACCCTAGCATGTCACTAAACAATAAAGATCAAATATATAGCCCTAACATGATACTAACATGAATATTAGGAAAGGAATAGCAAGCATCACATGAATCACAATTATCATATTTGATATTAGAAATTATGGTTGTTACCCTAAACATGATACTAGGAAGATCAAAACATCCTAACATGATACTAGGAATCAAAATAACAATCTAGACATGATTTCTAAATCATAATATCAATAAAACCAATTAAAGCAATTACATGGATGCCTCGTATCTCTTTCTAATAACAAAATACACACGTTCGTAACTTCAAGGAAAATAATAATCAAACAATTAAATTAAATAATTGAAAGAGAGATTTGGAAAGTTTAGACTAGATTTGGGACCAAACCCTCATAAATTAAAACCTTTCACGTCTAGGGCGAAGGCAACTTCGAACTATGCTAGGAATTTCTAGATCTTGTGAACGCGGAATTTTGTATGCAAAAGCTTGAGAGAGAGAAGAGATTCTTGAAAACTAGAGAGAATAAGAAAACTAATTGTTGTTGATGAGAATTGATGATTTTTTATGATGATTGATGATTTTTGATCATGGAAAACGGAGGTTTTAGGAGGCTGTTTATAGATATAATCAGCCGGACAGATAGAAAAACGAATCAGAGTTTCGACGAGAATAAAATAGCTTAGCGCCAAACGCTGGACATTAGCGCCAGACGCTAAGGCTAGCGCCAGACGCCAAGCCTTAGCGCCAGTTGCTAATCCTGTCGTTAGGCGCTAGAAATCAGCTTCACGTATTTTCTTAATTTTTATAAAATTTGGCCGTACAGAAGGGCAAAATTGTATTTTCCCTAAATTATTCTGATTAAAACTCTAAAAAGTCAACCAAAGTCAATTTATCAATGCTAATTAAATTAGGAATGAAAAGAATCTTCTAGAGGAATCTAGAAGACTATAATCAATTCTAATTGCATTAGGAATGATAAATCAATATTAGGCCCTCCTCTAGATCATTGGGCCGCATATAAAGATCAAACCGGATCCAGTTTGGTAATTTGGCCATAACTTCCTCATTATTCATTGGAATTGGGCTTATAATATATCGTTGGAAAGCTCTTTTTGAACCCGACCCAACTACACTATTATTGAACCCTTGTCAATGACCAAACTAAACTGGAATGCACGTTTTTCATAAATAAGGTAAGAAAAGAAATATTTTCAAAAACACATGAAGAGATATTTTAATAAAAACATCCTCATCACTAGACTTCACACTTTCGCTTTGTTCGATAATCAAATGACGTGAAAGGTATTCATCACTGGGTTTGGTTTTGGGGAGACACAAATGGGTGTCTACAGAAGCCCCCGCTTTGATTGAGTTTGGAGAAACACAAGTTTCAAAAACAAAAGTCAAAGTATCGACAGGGACGGAGAATGATTCAGAACGTCCTGCAATCCTAAATCACTCTTGTAACGCCGATACCTGCAAACTAGCATTACTTAAAACAGATAAAAGAGTTAAGAAACGCGTATCTTGCACCGTTGAGCACATGTCTCCGCTGGTAACCGATTTGTTGTTGTTCTTGTGTTGTTGTGACAACCTTCCATAATCTATGGAACACCATCTTGCTGTTTTGATGTTTACTCGTCTCTGAACAATAGAGCTTTTTTGGTTATGTTCACGCGTCTCTGAACAAAGAGCTTTTTAATGATGTGTCCACGCGTCTCTGAACAAAGAGCTTTTGAATGATATGCCCACGCGTCTCTGAGCAAAAGAGCTTTAATAATAGGATGCCCACGCGTCTCTAAGCAAAAGAGCTTGAAAGAAATGTCCACGTGTCTCTGAACAAAAGATCTTTGATGATATGTCCACGCGTCTCTGAACAAAAGAGCTTTGATAATATGTCCACGCATCTCTGAACAGAAGAGCTTGAATAATGTGCCCACGCGTCTCTGAACAAAAGAGCTTTTTGATATGTCCACGCGTCTCTGAACAAAAGAGCTTTAAAGGATTGTCCACGCGTCTCTGAACAATAGAGCTTGAACGGATTGTCCACGCATCTCTGAATAATAGAGCTTTGATTCTTGAATGTTTGTTGCGATCGTTCGGTTGGCTGCGAACAGGAGCTTTGTTGAATGGTTGTATCCTTTAAAAATCAAAAGATTGCCAAAAGACTTTGCTAGCCTTTTTCTTAGGGTTGACCTAAGGCTTGATGTTTTTTCTTAGGGTTGACCTAAGGCTTGATTGGACTGACTTGAGGTTGACCCAACGTGACTGACTGACTTGAGGTTGACCCAAGGTGAATTGACACGTGTGACTCATGACCTGTGTGTGCATTATATTGTGATGTGCTTGACTCAAAATGTGAAAAAGCAAAAAAATTCCGTCATTTTTGTGGAGGGTACCGACTTTCTCCCGAAAAAGAAAGACGCAAAAAAAGAAAGAAGCAAAGTTTTTTTAAGGTGCGTGTATATGCATTTGATGTTGTCTCTCAAGGTGCAAAGGTTAATTCATCCTAGGCTATCCTAGTTGACTCAATAATGAAAGTATGTAGGTAACTTAGGCACGGAGGCTAAGCACTTTATACTTCGTGATGCGATAACGATTACAAGTGATGAGTTATTTTGATATGACAAGGCATGCTTCAATGTCTTGTTAAGATTTCATGACAAAGGGTTCCTAAGGGAAGTATATTTGGTCATGTATCTGTGATATGTGTGAAAATGATACTAATGTTAGGCCGCAAGGGCTAAGTGTGTGGAAAGATATTATTTTTAGAAGAGTCATCAAATGATGGTGACTCTTGGGCTAGGTAAGCTAATGATGTAGGGATCAAGCCCCCAAGTCTAGCTCTAAGTGAATAGGGATGAGCATAGAAGATTCCTTGATATGATCATTTATGAAAGTAGATATGAATGAATGAATTTTTATTATGGTTGCACCTCGATGTTGCCTACGTATCCGTTAGGAATCAGGCCGAACGTAGCTCTAGCCGAACCTCGCACAAGTGTGTATACCTCAAAAAGGTCTTTTTAAGGGTTGTAACGTGGTTAGGATAAAGGTTATAGAAGAAGGGGATAAAAGGCTCAGGACCCTCGATAAGCCCCCAAGGTGTGCAACCTTGCTCTTGAATCTTTGTATTTTTATGCTTGAGGCTTTCTACTCTTTTTTAGCTTTTTCTTTTCCTTTAGCATTTATCTTATTTTTATAAGTGTGGGAAATCCCGATCATGCGGTCTATCACTCACTTGGCATTCATGTTTCTCAGGCACGGTACCGAGCACTCGATAAGAGAGGCAATTTGAGACGTGTTCATAGCAAAGACATGTTTATGTCAAAGACATTGGAACACTTGCCCTTTTGTACACTTTTATTTATTATTGTTTTTGCTATTTTAATTTTGATACACTCAAGCTTTTGATCTTTGAAAAATTGCATAAGTTACACACCATACCATCCCAAGGTTAGGTGGATGTGGGTTGAAGAAAGAAAGGTCTATCGTTAGACGAGGCTCAAAGTGGTTTATCAAGAAAGGATTGCATATTTGAAGGGGTGAATATGATATGATATGGCTACAAGGGGTGCCTCAAATCATTGGTATACCTTGTGCTTAGTTCGACATTGATTTTTATTTATTTATTTTTTTAATGCAATGTAATGAAATGATCATATGCAAGAAAATAAATGCTCATTTTATTAAAAGGGAAAAAGAAAGAATCTATAAAATTAATCTAAGGGAAAAGAAAGGTGCCTATGTGTAGACACCCATTTGTGTCTCCCAAAAACCAAATCCAGTGATGAGTATCTTTCACGTCGAATCATAATCGAATGAAGCCAAAGTGTGGAAAGTTTAGTGTTGCGGATATTTTTAATTTCTTTTCTCTTCTCTCTGTTTTTGAAAACTTATTTTAAAAAAATAGCCAATCCAGTTTGGTTGGTCCATGATATGGGTCCAATAATAGAGTAGTTGGATGGGGCTTGACAAGAGCTTTCCAACGATATATTATAAGCCCAATTCCGATGAATATTGAGGAAGTTATGACCAATTTATCGAACTGGGCCCAATTTGAACCTTATATACGGCCCAATGATCTAGGGGAGGGCCTAATATAATTTATCATTCCTAATGCAATTAGGAATGGTTTTAGTCTTCTAGATTCTTTTAGAAGATTCTTTCCATTCCTAATTCAATTAGCATTGATAAATTGACTTTTGTTGACTTTTCAGAGTTTTAATTAAAATCAAAAAGCATTTTCGAGGAAAAGATACGATTTTATCCTCTATAGTCTAGAGTAACACTTTTTTTTTTTCCGTTACTTTAGTTCAAGGTAACAAATAAATGTTGTTGCGTTAGATTATTAAGAGGAAAATTTCTGTAAGTGTTGCAATCTTAAGTGTTGCCTATTCTCATTTTTTTGGTAGTGATTTGACCAAAAATTTTGTAACTAGCTTACAAATGCTAGTTATAAATAATAAGTTTAACAATAAATTTTTGTTTTTTTAAAAGCAACAAATATTAAGTTTCTAGTTTTCAACTTTCTATTAATTTTATTTAATTTTCATTATTTTTTTTTGGAAAGTAATATTCATTTAAATTTTGATTAAAGGTTAAAAAAAAATTAAGGTAGCTAGTATTATTTAATTACTTGATTAATTTTTTTAATGAAATTAGATTATTAAAAACCAAGAAAATTAGGTTTTGATGAATAATTTCAAACAAAAAAAAAATTAAGAAACGATTATTGTTTGTGTTACTGCTTTGTGTACGTGTGTGTGTAACTGTGTATGTGTAAATCTTGTATTGAATCTCTGGTAAATTAGTAACCGACATAATTAAGGTCGGTTACAAATTTATAGTCAATCCTTATTGACCTTATTAGTTGTAAGGCGCTATAGCAAGGCCAGTTACCACTCTTACCAATAACCTTCCTTACCTTACGCCTAACTTCTCTCTTCTTTTTTTTTTAATTTTTTTATTGAAAAAATTCTTTATTTTCTTTTGAGGGGACCTAACTTCCTTTTTCATTTCCTCGTATCTCAGTAAACTTGCCCAATTTTCTCTCTCTGCTTCTTTCATTCAAGCCCTAACTTAATCACTTAATTGCAATTTCTTAGCTTCCTCTACAATATGATTCATTGATTTTTCTTCCAATTTGCAAATCTGTTATTTTCCCCATTTTTTCGAATTCTGATTTCTCAATTTAGGGTTCTTCCAAGAAAAAAAATCCCAACTTGTATCGATTTTTTTTTATGTAATGACGATATTACTTTGATTCGCTAAAGGGTTTTAGTAAGTGTGATTCTCTCCGTTCTTATTAACCGCTTCAATTGTCCATAAGTTAAATCATTTGCCCAACCTTTCAACTTTTTCTTTACAAAAATCCAACCTTATGATTATTCGTCAAAAATCCAACCTTTATACCCCTCCTTCTTCAATAGGTCCATTACCTGTTGATGACCGATTTTTGTAAGTCATATTCCACGTGTCAGCTATTAATAGGTTAATTATTTTTTTAATTATTAAAAAACAAAAAAAAATTAAAAGAAAAAGAAAAAAAAATTCAGAAAACCAGCTCCACCCTCTCCCTTCCCTGACCACCCCAACCCACCGCCCACCGGAACCCAGCACAGCCACCAACACTCACGCCCAGCCACCAACTCCACTGCCCAGCCACCAACTCCACCGCCCAGCCACTAACACTCACGCCCAGCCACCAACCCCACTGCCCAGCCACCAACACTCACGCCCAGCCACCAACCCCACCTCCGTCCAAATCCAAACCCTGCAACTCCAAAACGCCCAGCCCCGGAACTCCAAACGCACAGCCTCGCAACTCCAAAACGCCCAGCCCCGCATATCCAAACGCACAACCCCGCTACTCTTAACGCACAGCCACCAGTTTCCATCACTCTCACTGCATTCTCCGACGCGACAACGGGGCATTTCGCCGGCTCTCATCTTCCTCAATTGCTCTGCTCATCGCACTATCCAAGTCCACCGCCATCCTCTGTTCATCCTCGATCTTCTTCAATTTCAGCATCAATTTCTCTCTCCACCTCATCTTCAATCAGATTCAGCGCTCTCACCCCATTCTCAGTTGTAGAGTAATCATGGTCGTTGTTTATGCTGCTGTGTTGATCAACCGTGTCATTCGGATCATGATATCCATTGATATTCGGGCTATTTACATCGCCGTCTTTGTTGCCGTTGAGGGTTGGTGGAAATCGGCAGAAGTGTTGAGTGTGGTGACGGAGGTGGGGTTGGTGGTTGAGGTGAGAGGAGAGGAGAGGAGTGAGAAAGAATAGGAGTGAGAAGAGAAAATGCAAAAATAATAAAAAAAAATAAAATAAAATACTTTTTTAACCTGTTTATCAGGTCACAAGTAAAATGGACCTGTTGGGGAAGGAGGGGTATAAAGGTTGGATTTTTGAGGAATAATCAAAAGGTTGGATCTTTGTAAAGAAAAAGTTGAAAGGTTGGATTTTTGAGGAATAATCAAAAGGTTGGATCTTTGTAAAGAAAAAGTTGAAAGGTCTTTGCAACATTCAGCCATGATTTCATCTCTGGTGGCGTCACTCACCGAAAATCTAGTAGTTTTTGTTTCTCAATTTAATTTATTTCTGTTTGTTATCATTTTATATGGCCTTATTAATTTCTCAATTTTGATGCTGCAATGTCGTAAAAATGTTGAATTTAATCTTGTAAATTTTCTCTCTTTTTTAGGGTTTTGATTGCAATTGTTAATTTTGTTGGATTTAAATAATTATAGTTTCGCCGAAATTAGCTTGAATTGCTGATTGTATAGGGGTGGTTTCAAGGGAAATTGATTTGGGAAAGAGGAGAAGAATGGAGAAAAAAAAAGCCGCAGAGCATTTTCTCAAGGTAGCTAAATTGAACCCCCAAAATGGGGAAGCATTTAGATTTTTAGGTCATTACTATAGTTGTGTTTGTTTAGATACTCAGAGAATTCTCAAATGCTACCAGTGTGCTGTTAAGCTTAATCCTGATGATTCGCAATCCGGGGTTTGTTCTCTTAGCTTTCAATGCCAATTCAATTTATCAATTATGCCTTGATTAGCAGTTATGCTTTCTGTTTTGTTACTGCTTTCTAGAATAGAATTTAAGGTGCATTTTGTTTGGTTTTATAAGGAAGCATTGTGTGATTTACTGGACAAAAGTGGAAAGGAGAGCTTAGAGATTGCTTTGTGCAGGGAGGCGTTCGGGAAGTCACCCCGTGCCTTTTTGGGCATTTTCTAGACTAGGTTTGCTGATGGTAATTTTTTTTTTTTTTTCGTTATAGTTGCTCCTTTCGCATGCATCCTTGAAGGGAAAAACAATCAAACTTGAAAGAGAAGATTTTGTATTTGTGTTTATATTGAAATGCATTGTCCTTATATGTTGGCATATACATACATATATTCAGGTGCATCAAAACAAGTGGTTTGAGGCAGTTCAGAGTCTACAGCATTCCATCAGAGGCTACCCAACCTGTGCCGATCTCTGGGAAGTCTGTATCCCTTTTAATACTTTCCATTGTATCAGTCCGCCATGAGAAAACTCGTATACCCACCACAAGTTGCAGCGCCTCAGGTTAATGAGACCAGCTGCTCAAGATAGATCTTTGTAACAAGCCTATTTGGCTTGTTGCCGTTGTAAGGGAGGCTATCGGAGGGTGGTTGTCGCGGGGAGTCGATTCCTCTCAGAAGTTGAATAAGGTATGGTTTAGTGTATCCCTTGTAATTATGATTTGTTTTGGAGAATGAACAATAAAGAAACAAAATATACTACTAAAATGTTGCTGGCATTGGGAAATTATGCTGGGAAGATTAGATTGTCTGCAATGAAACTAGTACGGGTACATTGTATACGATCATATTCTGGTGTTTGCATTGAATTAATTATGAGTAATGGTTGTGGATATTAATATTTTAATGCTTCTGTACTAGATTGAGATACAAAAAAGGCCTTTAAATCCACCACAATTAGTTAGGTAGTTCTGACCTCTTTCTCATGATTTTTTTCCAATTGGTATATATATATCTTGGTAGCTTGGAAATAAGTATATCTTGGTAGCTAGCTTGGAAATAAGTATAGCTTGGAAATAAGTATATCTTTTCTAGTTTAATTAAATCTAGTTTTGGTCTTGTTGGAAAATATGGTAGTTCATGTACCACAATCTATTGATATACCACTAGAGTTAGGTGCATGAGTAGTTGTCTGGTTATTCTCTGCTCATCTGCTTTGAAAATGTCTCGAAAGGATAAAATTTCAATTTTTGTATTAAAATGGCTCTATAAAATGTCTACCTTTGCAAGCAAGGATCTTAAAGATAATAGCTTCTTTGTAATTGTAAGGGTATGGCTTGTGTTGCAATTATAAGGGTATGGCTTGTGTAGCAATTGTGGAGCTAACACTCTGACACTTAACACCCCTGCCACCATGCCTAAGACGTAAGGCCTTGTGGGCCTTATGGACAAAAGTCACATAGTAGTTCCTATTGCTTCAGAGTACTACATGTTTCCAAAGATACTGATTACTGACTTAAATCATACAAATAAACTTTGTATATATAGTCTTTATGCCAAAGTTTTACAAAGTTTCAATCCAGCAGCTTCATGTTGTGTTCCTACTAAGGAACTTGGTGTTTGCATCAAGTTTATAATTCTTTGAAGTTATGTGATTCCTACTCCAAAACTCCCATTTCATCTTTGCCCAGGAGCTTAAATAGTCATTAGTAAGGTTTGTTTGTCGTCATCAGATCTGTAAGGGCCAACATCTACGGGAGCGTACACTCCAAATTGGCATTTTGCTCTAGAAAACTTAACTTGTATGTGCTGCAATGGCATTTTGCTCCACTGCATCTGCTAAACAAATATCACATTGTTGCTTCAATATGCAGTTGTGCACAACTCTTCCACCTCACCCCCCCAAAAAAAAGATTAAAATAAAAAAAGAGAAATGTTTCTACATAACGTCTTTAAAATGAATGCATGCCAATGTGCTTCTTTGTTATGTGTTTTTATTTGTATGTGTTGCCTCACTTCTGTGCTATTTAGAATTCTTTGATTTACTGTTGAGACTTGAACGCATCCTTGTGTTTTTTTTTTGGGTGCTCAACGGTATATTTTCCCGTCTGGTTTAATCCAAGTACAAACTGAAAGATAGAGTTTAATGTGTTCATTTAAACACATCCATAATTTGCATATGTTAATTGTTAACACTCGTATGGTTACTATTTATCAATTGCATCAGATTTTATGTCTCTTTGCAAAACCCAGGTCTTCGCTGACATGGAAGAATTGGGTGTCAAACCGGATGAATTTATAGCCATGAGGGCAGTTGCTCTTATAAAAGGGGTGGAAAGAGTCTCCGGAGGAAGAAAAAACAATCAAGTATAGATCGAGCAAATCAGAGCTATTCTTGGCCTTTTCGATTCAATGAGGACACCTGTGGTACTTACAGTATTTTGCACCCTTCACTAACTTATAATTAATTCTTTCAAGTAGACCATGTTACTTTCCGTGATAATGGCACTCTTATCACTCTGTTCTTTTAGGATGACATACGTGTCCTTTGTAGTTGAAAGTTGGTGACATATTTGTAATTACAAGTACATCATTTTCTATATGTTATAAGTGGTGATGTAGATCGATGTTGATTAATAAATTGGACCTTACGTGGTTTAAATTATAATAATCATTGTATTTATTACTGTATAAAAGCTGGGTTAATAATTTATGGTGCTTCACATTAAAAAAAATGTAGCGAAGGTAATGGCAGTAGGGGCATCGACTACTACTGCCATTTTATTTTAAATAAAATAAAATGCTATAACCGGCGTTAAGATTTGCCAGTTACTAATAATACCCTAATTGTAACCGGCGTAACTTAATGCCAGTTATTAATAGTATGCTTTCTAACTTGGAAAATAGACTTTTTGTAACTAGCGTTAGGTTAAGTCAGTTACGAATATTACATTATTTGTAACTAACATTAGCCGGTTACGAATACTTTTCACTAGTTGTAATGGTGGCATTCGCAACCAACAATGCCAGTTACAAAAAGTCAATTTTGCCGGTTACAAATAACACTTTTTCTACTAGTGACCCTTTGTTGCACAGAGCGTTCAATCAAGTAGATGGAGCATGAATTCCCAGAGGGTTATGTCCATATGTAGAACACATATGGGTTTTAGAAAAGTGAGAAAAACTCAATCAGGAAGTAGGATTGAGCAAACAATGCTAAAAACTGGTCAAAATTAGAACGCATATTTTTGGCTCAGTATTGGAAGAACTTCACGCCAGCGAATAGAGGCCGGCGCCGCAATTTGGCTCTGGCGCCTGGAGACAGGAGTGTCGCCTGGCGCCAGAGTCAAATCCTCGGCGCTAGACTATGTTTTCTGATGCTAGTTCCTACATGCCTCAGCAGCTTTCTATGCTCGATAAAGTTTTTCAGTTTCGCGCAGCTGATAGAAGAATAATCGCGTCGTTAGACAACTACACCTAAATCAAATACAATTTATAACACTCGACTTATCCTAATACAAGTATATGGCAAGAAGAGGGATCGAACCACAGGGAGAAGCACATAAACACCGCATTCATCATTAGACTTTAAGCTATCTCGGGACAAAGAACAGGAATGACTAAGAGATTAAACTAAAGGTAAAACGAGTTAAAATCAATATAACTAAACACCAAGGGAAATGGGTAGATGTAGATGCCACTTGATCATGCAATAACATAAAAGCAAATCAATAGTGAACTAAACATGCATGAATATCGAAATAAAGTCCAATCTAACCGCAAAAAATTAATCGGTTTCTCCTAACATAGTCTCTATGTTTCCACACTAGAACCATACATTGGGAGGTGCAATCAAAGAACAATCGATAGTAATGAACCTTAACTAAGTCAACTTTCGTTCCTTGTTAGCAAAGATTCACCTTTAATCAACCAACAATGTGCACCTGCAAGAAGATCAAATAATATCAAGCATGCAAAGATTTTAATCACAATTAACTTAACCCCAATATTATAAGCATGAACAATTAGCAACTACACCATCCCCACACCCTTGGCTAAGTGACTACTCACAAATCATGTTGAAAACAATATCAATCACCAAATCAATAAGCATTAACATGATTAATAAGCAAATAAGGAAAATCAAAGTAAACAAACAAAATTAAATGCAAAGGTAAAGAGAAAGAGTAAGAGATTGCTCATTAATTGAAGTTGAAGATCTACAAAAGATTAAATAAGCTTCTTCTTCAAAATCCAAGTTCATCAATGAAGAAATCCACACTTTCTCTCTCTACCAAATGAAGACTAATAATGTTTCTCTCTCTAGATTAAGCTAAAAAAATGCAGAAAATTAAAACTAAGTTAATCTAATTACATTAAAACGTTCTCAAAATGGGGCTTATATAGTCCGTACACAGCTAGTTGAAGTAGGGGAGTGGTCCGACCGAACACTGGGAAGGTTCGGCCGGACTACAGGGTAGGTTCGGCCGGACTACAGGGTAGGTTCGGCCGAACCATGGGTAGGTTCGGTAGAACTCCCCTGATCCTGGTCTGGTCGAACTTCTGAGGTTCGACCACTCCTGCAAAATCACCAAAATGCAACTTGACTCTGCCTCGACGTTCGGCCGGACAATGGAGCAGGTTCGGCCACACCCTGATTCGACCGCACCTTCAGGGGGTTCGGCCGAACCTCTCCTTAACCTTGCTTATCTTCAGCTTTCCTTGAACTTTAGCTTTCTCCTTTTGAAGACCCCGATTCCTACAAAGAATAAGCATGGAAATCAAAGTAAAGAGTAGGAAAAAGGGCAAAATCTAGTAAAGAAGATGCATAAAGGGAAATGGAACTAAGTGCAAAGAAAAGGATGCAAACAAGCCGCAAACGTGGGAAAATGACCATCAAAATGAACCTTAACCGTGGCATAAATGTCACTCATCAACTTCCCCCACACTTGCCTCTTGCTAGTCCTCGAGCAAGGGATACCAAAACAATGAGAAAGCCACAACAAACATAACATGACAAGGGTTAAGAAAAACCACTTAAGCACTTAGGTAGAAAATGCTCCATTTGAACTCGAACGAAAAGACATGCACCAAAGAATACTCACCTTTCTCAATTCAATGAGGGAAAACACGTTATAAGATGCTCGCTGTTGAAAGAGACAAACCTAAGCTAAGCATAGAGAACTAATGACTTCACTTTCCGCCCTAGCCCCAACCAAGACGGTCCACGTTCTCTCCACTAGTTTAAAGTCATCCCCTAGCTAGCTCCTCATGATTCCTCGAGGGAACCGGAAAAAGATATTTTTATGTGGAATCATAAGGTCATCCCGACTTCTCAACTATGCATACTCTCTCCATAGGGTTGAAATCTATCTCCCTCCACCGGTCTTTGACCGCGCTCCTCCAAGTCCAAGGGTCTTAAATAGGGTTGTAATGTCATGGCTAGGGGTTAAGGTTGGGAATCAATTTGAAAATTTTGGTGGCAAATCCTAAATGAAGCAAAAGAGTGGCCATCTCTCAAGAACAACCTAAGGATTGAACCTAACCTCAAATTACAATCTTCAATACAAACCTGACAACATTACTTCATCCCTTTTCATTTCTTTCATCTTTTTTTTTCATCATTTTTTTTTCTTTTCATTTCATTTTTTCATCATTTTTTTTTCTTTTTTTTTTTTTCTTTTTTTTCTTTTTCAACTTCACTTGGTTTTCATGTGTTGCAACCTTCTTCACAAACTTTTTTTATATTCTTTTCATAACCAACTTTCATAACCTTACTTGAACCGATTTAAACAACTTTCTTGCTCAAAACCAACACTCTCAAACTCGAACCTCACAAGCCAATGCTTCACTAACTACAAGGGTCCGTAGAACATAGGCCGATAGGTTTTTAATATGGCTAAGTCAAGAAAGGGAAAAAGGCTCAAATTGGTTAAATTAGCAAGTAGGTGGATGCAAAAATGAAAACCAAATTCGTAACAAAACACAAAGAAAACAAAGAAAAATGAGAAGTAATGCCCTCTTCCTCCTCTATAGTTGTTTGGTCACGATCTCGGGAGCTAGATACCAACACAAAGATTAAGACATGCATAGTTAAGGATCCAAAATTCCACTCACAAGAATGATGAAGGCTAGAACAAATGACGCTCACATGGGATAAGAAATAAGCAAATACTAACTAGAGGGAATCCTATCCACTATAGAGAGCAACTCCATCTTACCACTTTCCCGTGAACTAGGGGTTCAAATGTCCTCAAAAGTTCTAAACTGGGCTACCTTAGCTTACAATGTGTCTAACTCAACCCTAAGCATTCTAAAACCGTGCAAACCCTCATCAACTAAGAAGATAAGCATTCAAAGACATGTCACCATGAAAGGCACATAAATCCAAATGAATGAGTAAATTCCAAATCAAAAATCATTTCAACTTGTCATAGTTATGCTTGTAACAAAAAAAGGGAAAAACAAAACAAAAGAAAGAGGAAGAAATAAAAAAGGTTCACACACGAGGCATATAGTCCAATTAAATCCCAATCGTCTTACAAGTGATCGTTCAATAACAACATCAACGATCCCAGGTTCCATAGAACCAAAAGCAAACATCCTCGAACCATTCAACTTCTTCCTAAGCTAAACCTAGACTAAACACTCAAAGAAAAAGAAAATAAAAGACAGGAAAGGTCTCACCAAACGCCTCTTGAAATGGAAGATAAGATAATTCATACAATCTCACCAAGGGAGCTCGTGTTGCTCCTTAACTTCCTTTGTCTCCACTTTCAAGCTTCAAGAAAAGTGAGCCAAAACAAAAGAAACTATGACAAAACAAGAAAAAGTTAGAAATCAAAGAAAAAGACTAAAGTTATAAATAAAAAAAGAAGAAAAATAAATAGAAAGTTATCTACAAAGTTTGGATTAAGGGAATTTGAATTGTTGGGAATTTTGGATTTTTCCTTGGGAGCATCTTTGCCTACACAAAACTCAAGAATCATAAAAAATCATAAAAAAACAACAAAAATCATCATAAAAACATCATAAAAACATCACCATCATCACAATCACATCATCATCATCATCACATCACCATCATCATCATCATCACAACATCATCAACTACAACAAGGCCACTATCCTCAATAGTCCTCCTCATGTACAAGCTACTACCCTACCACACTACCCTCCTATATACATTTCAACCAACCAAAAGAAACATCCTCCCCCACACTAGTCTTCTGCACGTCTCGAGCAAAAGTTAAAAGTTAGAAGCTCCTGGGGGAAGGAAGGGAACCCTCATCATGGATTCCTATCTCCTTGCTCTGTAGGTTGAGGGGGGTTATCAAAATCAAACCTGGGAGTATGCATAAATGGGTGGAAGGGTTGGTTTAAATGCTTATAGGGCCACCCATGGTCAGATCACCCCAACCACCATCGAAAGGATTTGGGGTTGATGTGGAAGCCGGATCACACCCACCCGAGCGATATGGGTTGTATGGTGGGTGCCAATACGTTGGGTAGGGTTGATGTTACCCTCCCAATAGGGGTAGTCATTGGGGGTGGGGTTGTTGGGGTCATAGGGCCCCCAATGGTTAACCGGACCCTCTTGAGGAGGGTGATAGGGATAGTTTACATAGGGCGCTTGGATGCCCGCTTGCACAAGATTATCATAATTCATCCTCCCGTTTTACCCCCATTGTTCAATGGAAGCTTGGT